ATTGCCCAACACCTTCATCCAATCCTCTTCCCGAAACATAGCTTCGTGCAATGCTTCTCCATCCACCGGCCACTGCGCACGTTCCAAGTTGTCCAACTCTTCTTGCAATAGCAGATCATCCTCGACCTCGTGTCCTTCTATAACCGGCGGTGCCGAGTCATCTTCCAGGTCCTCCTCCTTGTCCAAAGCAGTCATCAGAGCATAACGCTCAGCTGTCCGACGACTGCTGCTGAGACGACGTGCAGCACAGTGCTGCTGGAAACGCTCCAACCACGATGTCTGAATATAGGCCAAGAACTCTTGCGATGTCAACTGAGTGTAATGAAACGGAACGGACAAGTCTGCGAACCAGGCAACGCGCTCACAGATGCGCAGCATGTCATGATAGCGACAATCCGCTCCTTCTGCTCCACCGAACAGCTTCTCCAAACATCTAAAAGCACTGCTGGTGTCACCAATGCCAGCAACATAGGAACGCACTGATGCAACATCCCGGATGACCGGAGCAGACAAACCGGCCAAAACTCTTTCCTCCGCCAAACACCTCCTCATTGACATGTAACTTTTCCAGTGCTTCCAATGCAGCGTAAAACGAGCAAAAAGAACGCCTTGCTTTGCATCTTCTCCCATGGTGTGGCAAGCAAAGCATCGATGTGACAAACTGCAATCTCCAGAACACGTTGGGAATGGAAAAGATAATCCCAACATGTGAGCTGCGTACTTCTGCACCTCAGCATCCTTCGGAAGGTGCAAATCTGAAGGCACCACAACACTGTCATCTGCTGCTCTCACTTCCTGCGAATTTCAGCTCAACACAGAAATAAACAACTTCACCCGAACTTGTTAACACTTTCCAAATATCAAACTTAAAGACACCAAACAAAGTAAGAACGACAAAAAAAACAGAACCACCCACCGCAAGCAATCCTGAACGGAGGAACTGAAGTGGGCATAGTGCTCATCAAAGTCGAAAAACTTCACTCCATCCACCTTGCCGGCTTTGTTCCTCGAAACTCTGCGAACGAAGCGAGAATACATCAAAAGAGACATGCATTGCAACAAAACCGAAGAGCCCCTGTGCAAGTAATCGTCTTTCTGGTTGAAGTTCACATGCACCTGCTGGACTCTGGGCACATCACCTCCCTCATCAACAACCTCCGCAAACTCATCCACCACCACTGGTGCCTCTCCTTCGGGGTCAGGAAGCACATCCAAGGGCGAGCCATTGAGATGCGGCCTAGCTTGCAAAACCTCCTCCATGTCCTCATGTCTGCAACGCATGATTGCATACGGCACATAGCGGAAGAACATGTTGTAGCCACGATACGTCACCAGTTGCTCCTGCTCGAATAACAACTGATACGCCATTTCACCGTTGGATTTGGCCACACAACGATTCATTCCAAAGGCAAGTCTTCTCAAAATCGTCAATGCACGCCTCTGTTGCCCTGTCATAGTAGGGTCCCTGTCCCCCTCCAGGGGCTCCTGCTCGGAGCCCGCTGCAGCTTCCTTTGCCCTTTCCCTTTCCTCCTCTTCCAATCGCTGCACTCCTTCAATGTTGCCGTTTACTGAGAACCAAATTAAGGCACACACCAAAAAATAATCTATACCATCTCATTTCATTGTAGGAATTCCCATACAAATCCTCAAAAAAGGAGTCGGTATCGTGATGTTCCAAATCAGATATGTTACATTACTTTACTAAGGACATTTGCACAAAATACTGCAAAACAAAGTCGATAAGAAAAAATATCGTCAAAAATTTCCGTTTCCACCGCCCCAAAGCAAGCAGTCCTGCATACAATTCAGGTAACATACTCCGCGAAATTTCAAACTTCTTTGCAGCATACTCACCAGTGTAAAAACCAACATTCATCATATCTCTTGCAAGGTCCACCAGAATGCGATCAAGCGCCTTTCTCATCGTCTGCATCTTCTTATGCTCCGTGTCCAAAACACGACCCATGCATTGCTTCTTCGGCGGCGGATCCGAAGCATCCAACTCAGTCGACACAGGTTGCTCTGCATGTGAGGCATCAGCACCCGATATAGCATCCGAAGACGAACCAAACGCCGGGCGTTGAAGTTCCATCTCCTGCAATCCACTCCCGGACAGTTCCAACAGAGAAGATGCAGAAGCAGGAACTTCGACTCCAGGCTCCTGGTCTATGCTCCCATCACAAAACTTCAAAAGGTCTGCTTCTGAAAAATTGCGTCCAATGTACTTGACATCCACATTGCATCGCATCACTGCTTGCGCCACCGGATTCGACATCCCTTCAAAAGGGTGATCACGCCGAGCTTGAAACACATGCGGGTTTTCGTTTTTGAACTCTTCAACCTCCTTCAAATCTACCGTCTCATATTGCAACCGAGAAAAACCTGCTTTCGCAACTCGAGGCCAACCTTTCCGACATAACACTTTCGGCTTGTCCTCCTTGCCCAGAATCATTTCAACGTGAAAGCAACCAAAGCGACACCCACGTTTGCCTTTCACGGCTTTCCTCAGCCAAAGCAACACGTTGACAGCCAACTATGCACGTTGTACACTCCAGACGTCTCTTTTGCATTCTACACAAAAATGTTTTACGCAAACTGATACCGTAACAGCAACCGTGCAACATGTAAACGAACAACAAAAGCCATGACCAAGCCGAAACCGCACGTAACTCAAAAATAACGACAACAAACAACCACACCCACAACCACAACCACAACCAAAACAACAACCACGACAACAACAACAACAACAACAACAACAACAACAACCACCACAACTTTGCCAAGCTCATTGCGAGGAACTTTTTGAAACATGATTTCGTGCATTTGTGAAAATGATTCTGGATCACCAAACGTCTGTAATCCTCACAGAATTTTTTCTTCCACTCAAGACCATCTCCCGCAGAACGTTCACAGCGTCGCAGATACTTGGGTCGCAAAGAAGCATAGCATCCGGTCAATGTCAAAACCTTGCCAGCCACGGATCCGCCCAACTTCAAGGCTTCCAATTCGTGTCCATCCGGCTCCGTAGGCACCAAAGGCGCGGATTCATACTGGTGACCACATTCTGATCGCTGACGTTCATTCAGAGGCAGTGGTTGTGTCGGACTGCTCAACTGCTCCGACAAGGCCAATTGAGAATCATACTGAAAACGCTGCACAGCCTCCAAAACACGACGACTCCACCGCTGCAACTCAACGACCAACTCACCATGCTGCACCCGATGAATCAGTTTCCGCAAGCGATCTCCCAGGTCGTGTCCCAGCAAGATAATAAGCATGTGGGGGTGCAAAGAACCACGACCCTGAGTCTCCAACGGGCCATTCAACGCCACAATATCACCGAAAACACCTCCTTGCAGGGAACTCGCAATGCCATCTTCGAAGGTTGCTGCCACGCCAACCCGAAAACTTCCCTTGGTCAAAGGTGGAAGAATGCCCAACACTTCCTCACAGAACAAATCCATCATCAAGGCAAAGCAACGCGCTTGAGCGACGGGATCGCTCGCGACAATCCGTCGCATAGCAGCTGCGCTGGGCAATTCGGGCATCTCCGCCTCCCAGTCCAAATCAATTTTGCACTCTTCCACTTTGACATTCTGCAGGTGCAATTGAAGTAGCAAGGACGAGCGCATATCTGCGATGTTGGGCGTGACGAACAGATGCGCAGAACCATAATGCCATCCAGCCGCATGTCCACGCAACCGGATCTGGCTGCGGTGCCCTTCCATGCCAATGATGCTCGAAGTTGCCTGAAGCACTCCTCCCAATGCTCGCTTCAAGGCCACATCCACCTGCGGATCTCGCAGCAACTCCCTGAGGTCCGCATTGTCTCCATGCAATGCCATTGCCTTGAGCAATTGGTCCGTGTTGACTTCAGAAATAACACGACAATGTTTGCCAAAGCCACGACGCATCACATGCGCTTTCGTCGCACGCATCAACTGTAGTCGACGCTGCACGTCGTACATCACTGGAAGCAACGTCTCCTGCCCGCATACTTGGAACAAAGGCGACCAAACTCAAAAACTGAAACCACCAAAACACAACCACCAAACCATCCTGGGGAAACAGAAAACTCAGCAACAATTGAATAAACCAAATCCAAAGCACTGAAAGCGACCATCTTGGCAACAAGGCATCACCCTCACTGTAATGAAGTTCTTCCCGAAGCAACAAATATCGAAACACTTCTGTTGCATCCATGTTGGCTTCACGCTTCAAAAAAGGCAAGCCATCACCCCATGGAAACAAATCCGGAAACGACATGCCCCAGGTGGCCGGATCAAACATCGACAGCGGTTCGTCTCTGGTCGGAACAACCAACTTGGAAGGTTTAACTTGGAACATAGCTGATTCCACATTGCGCTCATTTTCAGCCGTGCCACGGGCAATCTTCTGAATTGTCCGAATTTTTTGAAGTGTTCGCCTCTCTTGGGCTCCTTCACGACCCAAAAGTTCACCAGGAACAGATGCATCCGGGGCCGGCATTTCATTGTTGATGCGGTTGCGAAGCACATCGGCAGCATCGCTCCTTCGCCGCCCACCCTGTCTCACACAGACCTCCTCCACATCCTTCAACACACGCACCCACTTGTTCTGTTCATCCGCACCATCGTTCAAGCCAACAATGGAAGACATCAAATGACCTGCAATGTTTGCGTGAGTGAGTTTTCCATATTTACTTTCACACACACAAAACAAAATGGTTCCGAAACGCAGACATTACAAAGCAAAACTCGATATTAACATCGTTTTCGATCGCTTCATTCGGACAGTCCCTACCATGAAGCAATGAATACAACCAAATTCACTTCGGAACCCTGCCTGGTGCATCTAGGCCTTCACGCTGCTTCATTCGGACAGTCCCTACCATGAAGCAATCACCTGCACCTGCAATGTGCGCGCGAGTTTTCCATATTTACTTTCTGCCACACAAAACAAAATGGTTCCGAAAGGCAAACGTTACAAAGCAAAACTCGATATTAACATCGTTTTCGATCGCTTCATTCGGACAGTCCCTACCATGAAGCAATCAATAAAACCAAATTCAATTCAGAACCCTGCCTGGTGCATCTAGGCCTTCACGCTTTTCTTCACTCGCATCGTCCATCTTCTCATCATCCGACGCATCTTGTCCCTGTGCGTCTGCAGGACCTCGCTGCAGCAACTCCTGCGCCAATGCAGAATCCTCCGCAGTTTCCAGGACACAGCCCTCCAAAAGATCATCACTGCCATCTCCCAGTTCCACCTCCGCATAGAAAGGATTCGTTTTCCTCAAACATTCAACAGCGGTAGTGTACTCATCTCTCGGGGCACGCAACAAAGAAGAGCCCTTGACTGCATCCTTCTGGCTTCCAACCAAAACAAACAAAACTGCATCTTGCATATCAACATCTTTTGGAGGGAGCGTGGTCAGCACTGAAGACGGCTTTGCTTGCAGGAGAAAAATCGAATTCCCTACAAAGCCATGCTGACGTTCCTCACGCGACAAATGCCCGGGCTGCAATACCACAACCTGCATGCACGCCCGTGTCATCGGCAAAAGTCGCTTCGTGGCCGAGGCCAGGCCACGCAATGCGGACAGTTGCTCGCCCATCCAAAGGTCATTGGCCAAGCTGTGCCGAGGCAACGTCAGACTAGATGACATCAACGAGCCCTTGCAGTCACTGCACACCAGGCAAGGATCCTGCAATTGCAGTGACATCCGAACATACTACTAGAACTTCACCCAAACAAAGTCGAGTAATCCGATGCCGTGAACAGAAAATTAGCTACAAACAAGTTGGTATACCGTGATCCCTCAATGAAAGCAACAAACCCGTGCAGTCAGTGGTAAGGGTCCTTCAAGTCCACCGGCATCCGACGCTTGTGTAAGAGCAAATGCTCCCCCTTGCAGTATGGATGTTCAACAGCCGAAGCATGCAGAGCCTCCAAAGGGATATTCGGCCATCTTCGACTGTATCTTTCAACTCCAAGAATTCGACACAAGCGTTCCTGTTGACCACACGGAATCACATCCACCGCACCGTTCTCCAACTCGGTGCTGTCAGCCGGATCTTGGAATAAGATTAACATCTTCAGCTGCTCCCGCCAAAACCTGCGAGCACACACCACGCATGCAGTTTCAAAGCGACCTCCTTGCTCGGGCTGTCGAAGCCTTTCATCAGCATTCTCCATGAGGCGACGTTGCGAAGCAAAGCTGGTGACCTGATGCATCACTTCATCAAAACATCATCAGCAAATTTCACTACCATGATATCTCGCATCAAACATGTTACACTACCCTACTCCGATCGTGCTAACAGAAATACAAAACGCAAAAAACTCAGTACCACGACGCCGTGAATTAAAACTATTATCTCCGTTTATGATACAAATTCCACACAAATAGCTACAAAAAGCTCAGTACCCCGATCCCACAAAAGGTCAGCGCAGACAAGAAACTGTGGGGCCCAGGTGTGTCAATAGTCCAATGACCTTCTTACGATACTCGATGAGCACACGGCTGGCATCGGCACCTCCACTGTGTTTCTCCACTAAATGTTCCAAAAACTCTTTCTGTCCGCCAGTTCCAAAATTGCACAGTCTGCACTGGTAACGCTCCAGCAGATTCTGAACATCATCATCATCATAAGACCATAACACAAGGCGAGACAGCGCTTCACCAATAGCAGTGATAGCTGGACTGCAGTCCAACATCTGCGCAACTTCACGCAGCTTGATCTCAAACTTCATATTCACATTTTCCAACACAGCAAATGCTTTCTTGGCAACTTGCAAATTCTCAGGCAGGGCCTCCATAGCAATGCCCGCAGCAACATCCATCTCCACATCTGCCTCCTCAGCAACTTCCACACATGAAGCGCCAGTGCTGTCAGGAACAACTGCATTACCATCCCCTTCCACATCCACCTCCGGAACACATTCCACAACAGAAGTGCCAGCGCCGAAAAGGATGGCACTCAATGGCACAAAAGCGGCCTTGCAAAGAGTTCCTTCAGTCCACCCAGGAATCGACTGCATCAAGTTGCGTTCCGTGTCGGATCTCCATTTGATACCATTCTCTGCATCATCCGAAGCTTCCAAACAATCCAACTTCAACTCCTTGATGTTGTCCACATCGCCAGGGAATGCAGCATTCATGGAACGACAGCGCACCTTCTTCTCCTTCTCCAAATACTCCGACATCCGCTTGAACAGCACACCGTCTTCATCTGAAGTCGGCAACCGCAAGCACTGCTGCACTTCCTGCCATTGTCGTATATCCAGTTCCAATTGAACGACAACCGGAGACACGCCGCTCCTGTACACACGATGTCATAATCAGTATGCAATTCCTCGAGATCTCGCGGACAGCCCCTACAGAAACCTCGAGAAGATATCTCTGATGATCTCGAGATATATTGGCTACCATGATCACGCGCATGATGTATGAATAACATACGTTATCTCATTCATCGCGCAAAAAAAAAAGCTCGGTACCATTATGCTTTACATGAGCATTTCTGGAGATCTCACGGACAGCCCCTACAGAGACCTCAAGAGATGCAACAAATGTTGAAGATATTTGTTTGTCGCTCCTTGGTATTTCAAAAACATGATGCCATCTATGACATATGTCATGTCATTTTATTAAGAACATTTCCCCATAAATGGGACAAAACAGCTCGGCATCATGATGCCGTCTATAACACATGATAATTCATTTTCTCATGCAAATACCCACAAAGGTGACAAAGGTAAGAAAACTTCACAAAACACACAACAACGACACGCACTCGTCCTGGAATCACGGAGTTCTGCGACCGTCACTGGATCGTGACGTGAGCGCATAGCTTGCAATGCAGGCGTCTGGCGAGGATGAAGTAACTGCGTCAGCAAAAGCCAAGCAAACTGTAAACACTTCTTGTTCCCATAGCGAGCAGATGGAAAACATTCGGACCAATAGCACACCTCCACGTCCTGGTCAAATCTTTCCCAACCATATCTCCGCATCAGGCATCGCAGGTACGTCGCGTCTGCAGCATCCAGCTTACCTCGACGCCGGCGCACCTCGCCCTCATCATCCACCACCAACGCTTTCGTGCCCCACAGGATGCCAAGGACCACCTGCAAGCAACACAAAGACCAAACAACCGCGAACCGGCAAGACACGACAAAAAAAACTAACGCAGGCCATACAATAGTTTCGACAACCACTCACCTCCACCACATTGTCACGATCCTCATAACCACCAGAACTGTCCCATTCACAGGCAGCTGTAAGTGTGTGGACATCCCACAAACGGCTCGCCACTTGCAACATGTCCGCGTCGATGGTGAACCCCACCAAACGACACCATTGAAGTCGTCTTTCTTCCGATACACTCAGCAAAACACAGGACAACAATGCCACGACCTGATGCCGCAGCAAATGCTCCATGCCAATGGAGGCGAAGTAACCTGGTAAATCTAATAAATCAACAGAATCCGTGACAGCTTTGCTGGGCCACGATTGCTGCACTTCATCGAAAGTAGCAAGAAGCGGCAACGTCGCATCCACCACACGAGCATCCAAAGAAGCAAGCGAAAGATGCAATCCCTCCACCTGACCCATGGTCTTGTCGGCCAAAACCGCTAAAATACGCATGCGATCTTTTTGTTCTGGAACAGCATCTCGAAGCAATGTAGTATCAGGCGCCGAAGGACTTTCCAAACATCGTTTCAGCCAGCCCCACAAGACACTTGCACCAGATGCAAGGGTATCATCGTGACACGGCTCCTGCTAAAAAAAAATCAAAAAAAAACAGCCGCACTTGACGTTTTTGCAATGCCGACAGTCTACAATTCAATTCTCGAGATCTCACAAACAGCTCCCACAGAAACTTCAAGATGTCGTTTTTTTAATTGCACCCAACCTCCATGGAAGTCGCCAAGACTTTCTTCAACGAATTGCGCAGCTCTGCTACAGGCAGCCAAGCGTTGCCCGATCGTGTCTCCACACCAGCCGCAGTAGCCAGGACTCGAAGCTCGTCTCTTCCTATTCCGTACAAAGCACGACTGAGCCACTCCTCACCCTCTGAAACAGCTCCAAGGTGAAGTTCTTCCAATTTGGCAGCCGATGCTTCTTCCACCTACAGCATGGAACACACCGCCACCACAAAACAACCATCACCCTACAAATTTTTCCCGCTGCTCATGCATATCAATGAAAACATAACACATAGATCCACTACATCACAAACGAACATGGGCATGATCACTATGCAATTCTCAAGATCTCACGGACAGCCCCTACAGAGACCTAAAGAGATGCAACAAATGTTGAAGATATTTGTTTGTCGATCCCTGGTATTGCACAAACATGATGCCATGTCTCACAAACATGCGAATTCGGTCACAAAAACAACTCATGTCACAACACATTTTTTGGTTGAACCCAACCTCCGTGGAGGGTTCCAAGACTTTCATCAACGAGTTGCGCAGCTCTGCTACAGGCAGCCAATTCCGGTTGGAATGTGTCTGCACACCACCCGCAGTAGCCAGGACTCGAATCTCCTCTTTTCGCATTTCGTACAAGGCACGACTGAGCCACTCCTTGCCCTGTGAAACAGCGCCAAGGCGAAGTTCTTCCAATTTGGCAGCCGATGCCTCTTCCACCTGCGGCATCCGACACACTGCCACCACAAAACCATCATCCTACAACATCGCACCATGTGACAAACATTCAAATTCGGTCACAAAAACAACTCATGTCACAACACATTTTTTGGTTGAACCCAACCTCCGTGGAGGGTTCCAAGACTTTCATCAACGAGTTGCGCAGTTCTGCTACAGGCAGCCACGCCTTGCCGGATCGTGTCTCCACACCACCCGCAGCAGCCAGAACTCGAAGCTGACGAGCTGACATTTCCGACAAAGAACGACTGAGCCACTCCTTGCCCTGTGAAACAGCTCCAAGGCGAAGTTCTTCCAATTCGGCAGCCGATGCCTCTTCCACCTACGGCATCCGACACACTGCCACCACAAAACCACCATCATCCTACAACATCGCACCATGTGACAAACATTCAAATTCGGTCACAAAAACAACGCATGTCACAACACATTTTTTGGTTGAACCCAACCTCCGTGGAAGGTTCCAAGACTTTCATCAACGAGGTGCGCAGATCTGCTACAGGCAGCCACGCCTTGCCGGATCGTGTCTCCACACCACCCGCAGCAGCCAGAACTCGAAGCTGACGAGCCGACATTTCCGACAAAGCACGACTGAGCCACTCCTTGCCCTCTGAAACAGCTCCAAGGCGAAGTTCTTCCAATTCGGCAGCCGATGCCTCTTCCACCTGCAGCATCCGACACACTGCCACCACAAAACAACAATCATCCTACAACATTGCACCATGTGACAAACACGCAACTTTCGTCACAATCCTATTCTGCCCCACCGGACCTGCATGCGTGGTGCCAAGACATCCAGCAATCGAGCGCGCAGCTCTCCAACCGCAAGCCACTTGTTGTCCGGTCCACGGCCAACATTCCGAGCATGTGCCATTTTGCGAAGCTCCATGACGGAAATGTTTGCCAGGGCATCCTGGAGCCATTCACGACCCCTGGTCACAGCACTGCTACGCAGCTCCTGCAACCGAATTTCCACGCCATCGGACGACGAGGATGACGCGGTCGCATGCTCCATTCGCACAGACATTCCCTTCAGCAAATGAAACAGCGACCACAAAATTGTACGGTACAATGATTCCCGTAGTATTTTTTGTCCACTGCTCATGCATTTCAATGAAAACATTACATATATTTTTTTCGTGCTATACTTACATAGATCCACTGCATCGTAAACAAACACTGACATTGTCACAATGCAATTCTCGAGATCTCACGGACAGCCCCCACAGAAACCTCGAGAAGTCCAAGAAATGTTCAAGATACCTGTTTGCCAATCGTCACTTGTTTCACGAACATTCAGCGTACATATAAGAATATGGATGTTCACTCTGTACACAATGCATCTTGTCTCTACGTTCACATCTGAGCCAAGGAAAGAGGTAAAGAGGTAAACTATGCTTGTCGCTGCAGAGTTGCACAATCCACTGCAAAGGATTTGTTCGCTGCGTTCCAAACTGAGAATGCCACTCCTGAGTTTGACATGGCAAAGAACCACTGTCGCAGAGTCCTGCAAACTGAAGGCTGAACGTGTCAACAGTGAAGCTTACAATGAACACATCAAATCATCAAACCACATGTTATTCATTTGCATATAAGGTCCCGACTTAAAAATGGCGGCAGGTCAGGATCGGCCCGCATAGTATTTTTTGTCCACTGCTCATGCATTTCAATGAAAACATTACATATATTTTTTTCGTGCTATACTTACATAGATCCACTGCATCGTAAACAAACCCTGACATTGTCACAATGCAATTCTCGAGATCTCACGGACAGCCCCCACAGAAACCTCGAGAAGTCCAAGAAATGTTCAAGATACCTGTTTGCCAATCGTCACTTGTTTCACGAACATTCAGCGTACATATAAGAATATGGATGTTCACTCTGTACACAATGCATCTTGTCTCTACGTTCACATCTGAGCCAAGGAAAGAGGTAAAGAGGTAAACTATGCTTGTCGCTGCAGAGTTGCACAATCCACTGCAAAGGATTTGGTACCTGCTTCACTGCATGTCACTGCATCAACATGGACATGTCCACACCAAACATCAAGTCCCAAACAGCAAGGAAGCAACACACCTGGAGCACATGAAAGTTCAGCATCACTAAACGTTAACCTTTGTAAACGTTCAAACTTTTACAAACAGACGGTTTCACACACAGACGCTCCTACACGCAGACGCTTTTACACGCAGATGCGTTTTACACACGCACACACGCTTTCACACACAAACGCGTTTACACACAGACGCATTAGCACACAGACGCTTTTACATACAAACGCTTTTACACGCAGATGCTTTTTACACAGGCACACACGCTGTCACACACAAACGCTTCTACACACATACGTTTTTACACGCAGATGCGTTTTACACACGCACACACGCTTTCACACACAAACGCGTTTACACACAGACGCATTGACACACAGACGCTTTTACACACAGACGCTTTTACACGCAGATGCTTTTTACACACGCACACACGCTTTCACACACAAACGCTTTTACACACAGACGCTTTTACACACAGACGCTTTTACATACAAACGCTTTTACACGCAGATGCTTTTTACACACACACACGCTTTCACACACAAACGCTTATACACACAGACGCTTTTACACACAGACGCTTTTACACACAGGCACTTTTACACAAACGAAAGCGTCCATCGCAATTTTACCTCAGTTTTTGGCGTCCAACGTCCATTTCGTGCGTAAGGGTTGCGAATAACAAAGTAAAGTCGCAATTTTTCCCCAGTTTTTGACGTCCAACGTCCATTTCGTGCGTAAGGGTTGCGATTGACAAACTAAAGTCGCAATTTTTCCTCAGTTTTTGAAGTCCAACGTCCATTTCGTGTGTAAGGGTTGCGATTGACAACTCAAAGTCGCAATTTTTCCTCAGTTTTTGACGTCCAACGTCCATTTCGTGCGAAAGGGTTGCGCGCGACACCTCAAAGTTGCAATTTTTCCTCAGTTTTTGACGTCCAACGTCCATTTCGTGCGAAAAGGTTGCGCGCGACACCTCAAAGTTGCAATTTTTCCTCAGTTTTTGACGTCCAACGTCCATTTCGTGCGAAAGGGTTGCAATGGACAAAGTAAAATCGCAATTTTACCTCAGTTTTTGGCGTCCAACGTCCATTTCGTGCGAAAGGGTTGCGTTTCGTGGCGCTCCGGCGGCACCGCCACCGCCTTAAGAGAGAATAGAAGAAGAGCGAGAGGAGATCTGCAGATGTGAAGGTGTGAAGATGTAGATCGGCAGATGTGAGAGTGTGAAGATCTAGATCTGCAGGTGTGAGGGTGTGAAGATCTAGATCTGCAGGTGTGAGGGTATGAAGATCTAGATCTGCAGATCTGAGGGTGTGAAGATCTAGATCTGCAGATGTGAAGGTGTGAAGATCTAGATCGGCAGATGTGAGGGTGTGAAGATGTAGATCTGCAGATGTGAGGGTGTGAAGATCTAGATCTGCAGGTGTGAGGGTGTGAAGATCTAGATCTGCAGGTGTGAGGGTGTGAAGATCTAGATCTGCAGATGTGAAGGAGTGAAGATCTAGATCTGCAGATGTGAAGGAGTGAAGATCTAGATCAGCAGATGTGAAGGAGTGAAGATCTAGATCAGCAGATGTGAAGGAGTGAAGATCTAGATCTGCAGGTGTGAGGGTATGAAGATCTAGATCAGCAGATGTGAAGGAGTGAAGATCTGGATCCGCAGATGTGAAGGAGTGAAGATCTAGATCAGCAGATGTGAAGGAGTGAAGATCTAGATCCGCAGATGTGAAGGAGTGAAGATCTAGATCAGCAGATGTGAAGGAGTGAAGATCTAGATCAGCAGATGTGAAGGAGTGAAGATCTAGTATAACGGCTGCTTTTTTACGAAGAACCCTTCGCAGGCGCTCTCGGGAACAAAAGGAACCACTTGGAATATGTCAGTCCAATGCAAAAAATCTTGGGCTGGGCAACCTGTTTATATAAAGATTTACTCATCCTTCCTGTGGAAGCAAACCCAATTGAGCTGTCATGATGCAAGTCGCAACGCTGGTACCTGCAGGTTAAACCAGCTTTCCAGCCCTGTCGATCTCTCAACTTCCGTGTGTCCTATGCTGTGTCCTGAGAAACATTGGGAAAGATTTAGGAATGTTGACGAGATAAAATCCAGATTCTGGACAATCTCCCCCAAAAAAAAGTGCGGGAATTCAACAAGAAAGATGGATGTTGACACATCCTCCCTGCCAGTTTGTGCTTCGCATAGTCCTAGTTGCTCACATGTCTAAATATATGAACATATCTTGGCTCAGTTGTCATATTTTCTCTATCGGACATACAATATATATATATATCATATAATAAGAATTAATAAGACATGTTCTCTTTCTCTACCCTACCAATGTCGACTCTCTCCCAACGTTTTCGCGCCTCCTTGTCCTCAGGCCTGGAGGCCGCGCAGTTCTCCACCTTCAAAGAGCTGAGACGACCCGAGTTCTGCTCCAAAACGCTTGGAGAGTGGAGCATCACATGCTGATCCATGTGGCTGTTGTATGCCTCAACCAACTCCGCTACACACCAAGCTCTTGAAAATAGGTTGAAATCCTTGTCTATGGCGACAACTTGTAAGAAATCTTGAGAGTAATGGTGGTGCAAATGCTTCATCATGCAATCAAACTTGTTCAGCTCACACTGAACTGGATGGTCGTTGAAGTACTTCGGTGTACTACAGTCACAAAAGGGCAACACGTCTCCAGTGACCGTGTCACGAACCCCCATAGAATTGCCACAAATGCTCGCATGCTGGTTGATGCAAAGAGCACAGATCCAGTACTGGGAGTCCTGCGTGCCACTTTCAGCAAGCCCTTCCCTCAAAATCTCCACTTCGCCGCAGCTCAGATGCTGTGCCACACTGTCCCAGCGAGACAAGTGCAACGCATCCGCCACCACCGCGGCAACAAGATCCCGGAACCGATTGGCCCAGTGATGTGTGACCATCCTCGGTTCAAGAAAGCAATGGTGCAACTGCCAAAGTTCGGCCCTGTTATGGTCATTTCTTTACCAAACAAACAAACTCGCAAGACTGGGGCGTCACCAGTTTGACTGTCCAGCCACGTGTGCAGACACTAAGGTATGCTGTATGCTTGATTTGTCTTCCCAACATAAACAGGAGAGTGTGTGTGTGTGTAATATATATATATATTATATTACATTATATTATATTATATTATATCATATTATATTATATTATATTGTATTATTTTATTTTATCTTATATTGTATTGTATTATATTGTATTTAATTATAATTATAATTATATTATATTATATTACATTACATTATATTATATTATATTGCATTATATTACATTATATAATATTACATTATATTGTATTACATTATATTACATTATATTACATTACATTATATTATATTATATACTATATATTATATATTATATATTATATATTATATATTATATATTATATACTATATATTATTTATTATATGATATATATTATATATTATATATTATAAATTATATGTTATATATTATATATTATATATTATATATTATATATTATATATTATATATTATATAATATAATATATATTATATTTTATATATAAATATTATATAATATAATATAATATAATACAATATAATATAATATAGTATATAATATAATATAATATAATATATAATATAATATAATATAATATAATATAATATAATATAATATAATATAATATATATTATATTGTATTGTATTGTATTGTACTATATTATATTATATTATATTTTATTCCTTCAACGACGTTCGCAGCTTGCAGATACACATTGTTTTAACGGTGGGACTGACTCAAATCGCAGCCAGCCGTGTTGGCTGTGGGCTTGGCAAAGATGTTCTGGTGGAGCAAGGGGTGGATGGAGGGCTGAAGCAACAACGAAATAGGTGGACACCCACCGCAACCCTCCACTTGGACCAAAGCAGCAGTATTGAAGCTCACTTGATTTGTTCAGCACAAATCACAAGAAGGAATAATACAGTGTCACACGTGACTTTCGCTTATTCCTTCAACGACGTTCGCAGCTTGCAGATACACATTGTTTTAACGGTGGGACTGACTCAAATCGCAGCCAGCCGTGTTCCCCATTTTGCAAACCATGGCTGCCAGAATTTGTTCCAAAGAAATTGAAGCGAAAGTTGAAATATCCTCAAAACCCAAAGCATTCAACTGATGGATGTCTCCTCTCGACGGGGCGTCTGCAATGTTGCTATACGAGCTCACTCTTGCAATCCAACAGTTTGTCTTGGTTAAGACCTCTTGCTCGGCAAAAACCTGTGCAAGAACATTAACTGTGTCATTTTCAGAAGTACCACGAATCAAACTGAACTTCGTGCCCTCGTTGTCAACATAAAGAAAGGCTTTCTTATTGCTCAAGCTTTGTACCCAAATCAAATGTGCCAAAACCGCACACAAAGTCTCCGCTTCAAAAATGATCTGCTTTTTCGAAAGCTCTCCAAGCAATTGTCTCTGAATCTCATTCAACTCACAAGAGAAAAATTGTTTCTTTCCACTAGTTAGATCCACAAAAACTGCTCCAAGTCCGCATTGCAAAGACCTGGACTCACGCTCATAACAAGCATCTGTGATGATGACAACGTGCTCCAAGGACTCCTGCTGTATCAACCTAGGTTCATCTGACTCAAGCAATTGCACAAACAGTTTCAAAAAGGTTGCATCAGCTTGGCAGATTTTGGAGCGACGCCTGGAAGCAAAATCCCTCAAAGCTCGAGTGCACCGCTTTCCAGTGCGGCCAAAAACTTGGGCATCAGCAAGCTGCATCCTTCCTCGTAATTTTTGCGCTTCAACCTGTGATATCCAACCCTTTTCCAGAATACGCTCGATTTCTGTTTTGATCTCTTCAATTCTGGATTTTGTGTTGTAAACTTTTGCAATCCCAATCACAGATTCCGAAAGGTCCAGAATAACTCCAAGCGCTTCACACTGTGCACTGAAAGGCATGCACTTACGACCCTCTTGCGCAAAAAGCCACCCAAGGAGATTGAAGAGAGCAGCAACAGAGAGCTCGGTGTTCTTGGCAAGAGGCGGTGTTGAAAACACAATATAGTCATCGAAGAAGGAAGACCAAGGCAGGGAACAACCCACCGTCCCCAGCCACCAAATTGCACGTGCAAGACGAAGAAAAGAATGCACACTGCGGTTTGCTCCGAAAGGCAAAACCAACACCTGAAATAATGCCCAACGTCCAGTGATCGGGTTAAAGACCCTAATATAGGCCACACTGCGTCCTTCTGAGTTCAATGCAATTTGCCTGTATGCACTGGACAAATCAAACGTCCTGACGACCAATTCCTTCTCAAGTCCAAGTCGGTCAGCTTCAGTGAAAAACTTTGAGATCAAGGCACAAGCAACATCAATGGTGTGAAGGATTGGAGTCTCTGAAACTGTCACTGCTTGATTCACCGACGATTCCGAAAAATCATCTATTAAACGAATTTTATGTTTCTGTCTCAAACCAAATCTACGAGAGATAGGGGCATCTTTTGGCACTTCATCGTCTTCCAGCGGTCCCCTCAACCAACCACGCTCGCATTCCTCTAAAGTCTGTCTCCAGACCTCTTCATCAATCTCATTATCACCCGAACTACAAGGCTCGGACATCACCTGTAGTCTGCGCATCTGAGACTGCAACTTCAAAGATTCCAGTGTAGTGACAGCTGGGGTGAATTTAAATGGCAACATGCTGGTAGCCGGCACTTCGCCTACAAGAGAGGACCCCATACGCAATTCATCGACTACTCCAACATCTGGGTAACCATAATGCTCAAGCATCTCTTTGAACAGTAGGATTTTCTTCCCTTGCACCGCTTTCTCAACTGCTGGGTCCATGTCTCGGCGCATATCCAGTTCAGCTTGAAGCAACTCTTTTGCGCGACTATTCCACTTCTTAAAGAAAATCAACCTTTGCTTTGACAGTTCTAACGGGTTGCACGTCAGCATGCGTTCAACTGCTTTTGCCAGTTCTAATGGTAAAGCATCTTGCAACCCCACAGGGTGTTTGATTTTCAAGGCTTGATCCAAAAATTCTGTTGGTTCCCATTGCAACCCAAAAACTTTCATGCTGTCAAAAACAACGTCCACTGTCTGAAAACTTTCCAAGGAAAAATCAACATGCCACACATGCAACTCTTCAAGAATTCGTTTGCTCACTCCTTCCGCAAGGTTACACTGCTTCACGCTCACTTCTTCCCCAAATTGAACTTCGTGAAGTTGTTTGGCTGCTGGGGGCACTGCAGTATTCGGCCAAACAAGTTGCTGGGACTTCCAAAAAGTCACAAACCTGGATTTGTGCGCAGGAAACAAAGGTGGCAGCTTCAGCGTGGGTGTTTGCTGCAAGGTGGCTGCCTTGGCTCTATGTTGCAAAGAGGAGTGGCCTTGGAAAACAAGGCCTTGTTCCACAAATCTCAAAACAAAAGCATGGGCAATAGCTTCGCAGAGCTGTTTCGGGTAGTGCACTTCCAGGGATGTTGCAAAAATTCGTTTGTTGCCACTTCGTATGACTCCCCACGGCAGGTGGGTGTGGTCTCCAGGACATGTATTGCAAATTGTGTGGACTTGTTCAAAATTAGCAGTAAGCCGCGTCCACTTTGGCCTTTGGGCTCCATATGCGCAAGCTTGATGATCTGAGATGTGATGATGCCCATTGCTGTCACATTCGGCCCACCATGTAGTCACCCAAAACAAACTGTTCCTAGGGTTCTCCACCATACATGCTTTTCCCAACAAGGTGCAAAGATCCATAACCTCTGCTGTGAATTCATAAAGGACATTAGCTGCGCTTACACGCAGCATGTCAGTGCCAGAGAGTGTTGAGATACCGTTTGGTTCATCCAACGTACGCAAAGGCTTTGGTGCATTTTCTCCGGGCAGGTGTATCTGCCTGGCTGTACTGGCTGTACCACAAGGAGGCGCCAAATAAACTCCTTTCACTGCAGGATGTCTTATTCATTCCATGACAGTCAATTGATCCTCAGGTTTTGTCAAATCCAATGGGATGATACTCGCCAAAGAGCCATGTGACCGTACTTTGTCAACAGCTATGGAGTTTTCAAATCCACACCTTTTAAAGGCTGCAGTCACGCCTGCTGTACCTGAAAAGAGCTCCAAGATGATTACATCATGCTCCGTGAAACCTTCTAAGGGGGCACCAAGTCAGTTTGTATTGCCAGCATCCTTCGGCATCTCGCTAGCATGCGCCACACTAAATGCATGGGTCTTGAAGCAGTTTGCCTTGAAGCAGACGTGGCGACCTCTTTTGCAAACGCCTCCTACAGGGGCGTCAGTGCATTCACCCAAATTGAAGTTGAAACAAATGGCACGGCCCTTTGAGTCTCGGCCGACTGCACCTGTAATCCCTCTTGGGGCAACGCTGGAGCCCTGCTGGCTCTTGGACTTGCCTTTTCCTTTGCGCCCTGAACTGCCTGACTTGCCCTTGTAGTTTGTATCAAACTGAGTTGCTTCTCGATTTCGAACAGGGGCATATGAACTTGAAGATGGAAGAGGCAAAGGCAACAAATGAAATGCAACGTTGTAATCACTAAGTGCTTCCATAATTGCTCTGTCCAATGGCCTGCTGCCGTCTGGTTGTTGCCTGATGTCGTCCACATTCTGCGACATGTGAACCCAAACTTCACGGTCGCGCGAAGGATTTGAGAAAGGCTGGTAGCCTGATAATTTGGAGGCGGTTCCGTATGCAATCTGCGCATCAGCTTGTCAATATATTTTTCATGCACACTGAAAGACAACAGGCTTGCAAATTCATAAGCAACTGCTCGACGTCTAAGGCACTGTTGCAATTTGAAAGAGGTGCTCACATCCTCATCTGGTGTTGTTTTTGCTTCCTTGACCGACAGGGTGTTTGATTCGATGCGCAACTTTCGGTCAGTTCTGCCAACAGCTACTTCAGACTCTCTTGAGTTGCACTTTGCAGGTTCGATGTAACGCAAAACCTTTGTCTCATTCTGATGGCAACACTCATCTACCAATGCCTGTGATGGCTCATTTACACCTTCCAAATTCAATCCTGTGAGCTGTTGTTTCAACTGTCTCATGCGTGCAGTCCTTTCTGCTTGGGGAAGAGGCCTAGGCGTCGTTGACTCCTGTGCCTGCTCAACAGATGCTTTCAAGGTCGAAGTGACCACAATCTCCGCCTCAAAGTGCAACCTACGAATAGCTGCAAGGGCCCCTACTGTAGGAGCTACACCCCCATTTACTGTGGTGACCCACTGTTCAAATTTTGACTCCTCAAAATCTTGCCCAGGTCTGCAAATAGAAAAAGCCAAGTGTGCCATTGTGGTGACTCCAGCAAGTCTAAGGCTATCGACAAGGGATTCAGGAACGTCATACTCCCTTGCTCTTGCAGCGAAGTGTGCTTTACTGTCGGTCAGTGCAGCCATCTCCGAGGTGCAAACTACTAAAGCACTGGTGAATGTCAAGTTGAAAAGCGTGACAACACTTAAGGTCCGGACTAACCTGCAAATAACAAATTGACGCAAATGAAAGTGCACATATGACCTTGTGAATAATGATTGCAGCTGATGTTCACTGACATCAAGAGAGACATGCTGAGCATATCAGCAAGCTGTGCTATGAGCCAACATCCACAGACATCTGTCTTGAATGCAAACTGAAATCAATTCAGTTTTTCTCCCTGTCTCTACAGGGTTCAAAACAAAGGAAACAATTTCAGGTTCTCAAACCTGCGTGATGCAATGACAGGCGGACTCAATCCCCCTCATATGCCGTTGCTCTCAACGGTTTTGTTGACTAAACCAGTCAAAATAAAATTTCACAAACACAACTGCTAGTCATGCACAAATGACTTGGCAAGTTCACATGCCAAAACTCTGGTCTTCTGACTGATTGACTACAAGTCCGCTTTCTTTTTCTGCATGCGCACGAGCTCGAAATCACTGCCTACACATCAAAGCATCTCGAGCATCGAATGCCATTGAGTTCATAGACTTTGGAAAAGTTTGGAGTCACTCGCCTCCCGCACTTGAGGACACCAGGGTTTCTGCAGCAATGCACTACGAGGGACTTGACATTGATGTAAAAATCTGAAGGAGGATCATAGTTGAAATGTCGAGCATCCTGCTCACCATCTTCCTCGCTTTCAGATGAGCTCTGAACACTGTCATCCTCTGTTGTCTCACTGTCTGCATTTCCTATGTCCGCTGGACTGGCATCCTCTTCGGCAGGAACCGGGGAACGCCCAAAGAGATCATCCACTGCTTCTCAATCACCCGAAGGCGTCTGAGTCTCCAAAGGGATCTCTGCTTGAATCTTTTCTGCCTTCTCCTGCTGTGACTCAGCATGTACTAGAGGAAATCCTCTGCCAGATGGTGCCAGAGGTGCTGGTTGTGGCGTGGCCGGCAATGACGCGAGACCCCTACCAAAAGGAGTCAAAGGCGCAGCCTGAGCCATCCCCACGGGTGTCATCATACCCGACCTGGTGCGGTCTGGGTGGAAAAGCCCACTCCTGATTGCCAAAAGCATGGAGTCCATTTCACGCAAGACTGGGGACAGCAGGTCCCGCGAGTACACAGCCGTAGCAGTTGCAACCGAGCTCACATGTCTGGCCAAAACGGCCCTGCTTGTGTCAGGCAACCCATACTTGGATGCCCAGCTCAAAACTGTTGACTTCATTGAGTGGGTTGACAACCGCCTGGAGGTCGTCTTTGGTGCATCCAACACTTTCCTGAGGAATGCAGAGCCCTCCTCTGACGTCAGAGCTCTCGCCGCCCAACACGTTGCCTGCTCATTCAAAGGTGCCGGCAACATGGGCCCATGTTGATCGGGCATCAACTCAAGTCCTGCAAGTTTCCTCACTTGAAGGTATTGCACAGCCCAATTGCTGTGGTCAACTCCTTTTGCCGGAGCCACTATTGGGAGGAGTCTTGACTTCATTTCTGCGCTGCGCCCACCCTTGTGGTACCTGGTTGAGCATTCCAAATATTGACAGTCTGAATCGATGAACAAATCCGTAACGCAGCTGAAATCCGACCAACGAGCCCTCCCATACAACATGTGCAGCATGTGACCCGCAAACACACGGTCGCCAAGAGGTTGTGAGGCATCTGCAAGTTTTTCATGGAGTCGCAGTACTTCGTCAAGCTTGAGGAGATCTGCTGGTCGCCATGGTTTCTTGGAGGCTCGCATTTGAGATGATATTCCCTTGATTCTCAGACTCCGTTCACATTCTCCGGAGCCCTCAACTCCCAGTAAATACCAGGAGAATCTCAACGCCTCCAAAAAACTCCCGGCCTTCGTTGGAGCTGCATTTGAATCCTTCAAAAAGCAGACATATTGCCATGCCCGAAACTCAGTCACTGGTAGCCAGTGTTCATTGAACTTTTCAACGCACCATTCTTCAAATGACTGAATAGAATAAAGTCGCCGCATCAACGTGCCTGGGCTTTTTACCGCGAACACGGCATCCAGTATTTTGTGAGCACACTGGACCACAGTATCGATGGTTGCTTCCACAGACACTTTTAAGCCAATGGTGCTACTCACCAAAGAAAAAGCCAACAGGTTCCACCAGCCTTCGATTGCCCTCTTGCGCTGTGCGTCCCGATCTTGTACGACCGGAACATCATCCAGTTTTCTGACAATTGAAGAAAAAACCGAACCACTCTTCTGCACCTGCTCCACTGAGGTTGTGGCAGAAACGCGTCCAGAGGCATCTACCTGAAGTTCAAGGCCCACAAAGTTGCGTCCACCTGGTTTCAACGAAGGTGTCCTGACAGAAACTAAAGGCTCATTGCTGAAAAACTTCTTGAGGCGTCCACGTTCCCAAGGGTACTTGAAGACCTGTAAATTTGTATTCTTCAAAGCATCCCTTTCAAAGTCATGAATCTTTTGCCTCTTTGATCCAGCTATTGCACGATCATGTTCTGCCAAATCATCGTGTGCGACATCTACGACATTCATGTCAATCACGGGCAACTGCCCAACATCAAAGTCCACCTTTTTGTCAGAATCTTTTCCAGCTGAAGTGTCAGACCTTGCATCATCCACATGACTACCTGCACTAGAAACAGTGTCACGGATTGCCCACCTCTTCCTGAATCCACGCAGAGCACTCTGTCCATCACGATCATCAACGGTGTCATCATCGCAAATGTCTGTGCTCTGAACAGGCATGGTATGTGTGAGCTGTGACCCTGAAGCACTGTGCATTGCAATGTCGACAGCGATACTCACAAGTCAAAGGATTCTTGAGAGATGAGCTACTTGCAGCTGGCTCGTCTGAGGTCTGAACGCTTTCAGATCCAGGGGTTATCTGTGGGTGACTGAGCTCACCAGACAATCTTGCACGGATGATATCTGTTGCACTTTTAATCAAATCCAGCAATTCACCAGTTGTAAAGTCAGTCAAATCAGTAACCTTTCTAAACCCCATGGCCTGAAGCAACAACGAAATAGGTGGACACCCACCGCAACCCTCCACTTGGACCAAAGCAGCAGTATTGAAGCTCACTTGATTTGTTCAGCACAAATCACAAGAAGGAATAATACAGTGTCACACGTGACTTTCGCATATTATATTATATTATATTATATTATATTATATTATATACTATAAGCATCGGACCTTTTGTAAAAGTGAGGTATTTGGGGACATCAATGGTCAGAATCTCAGCTGAGCATCCTGGGTGCATAGTCCTTGATCAAGGCCTTTTGCACCACTGAAAAGTGCCGGCCTGACTCGTGCTCGGAGACTGCTTGGTGCCAGGTTACTGCCAGGGCCTCACCCTTCGTGCCCTGACGGGATTCAGGGATCACGGCGTGACGCACCACGTCATTGGTGGTTGACTTCTCTGGCAGAAAGTGTGGCATGAGTCCTGGTTTTTCAGATGCGCCGAGCTGGGTGTAGAAATTCAACAACTGCCCCACAGAAACTCGGCGGTTTGCCAGTTCTGCCACCTTGATCTCCCAAGCACAAGCATCACATGCAGACACAGCATGAACTGGGGTGATGGACTGGGATGCCTGGTTTAAGCTCTTCCCCAGCTGCTGGCCACACGTGCAATCCTCGTTCACAAAATTCTCTTCTTGGATGTCAGCGACTGCCTTTTTTGGGCAGCATGAAATTTTGGGCAAAGACAGCGAAGACACTGAGAGAAGCACTATGCAGAACGCATTGCCCAAAGAATCTGCAAGGCCACCGTAGTGATAAATGTTAGTCATGATGTTCGTCCTCATCACAGGAAACAATCCAAAGGCGCACAAGTAGATAGCCATGGACAAACCCGCCACAACGAAGCCAAGTTGGGCTGCAAAAATCACTTTCATGGCAAAACCGGTCTCTTTCATCAGTTGTTTTCCCATAGCATCATCCTTGCTGTCCACCTCCCTTGCATCTCTCAATGCCTTTAAAGGAAGCGAGTATGCCCAAGAGACAAGCACCACCAATAAAACCAAGAACACAGTCGTGAATGTGGTGACCACTAGAGTGGTGGGGTCTGGAAGGAGTGCTGCTACAGCCACACAGGGCATGCAGACTTTCATCATGAATTCCAAACAACTGATAGCCTTGACGCAAGGCAATGGCTCACCAAAGGCTTCTTGGAAAGTGAGGAGGCGTTGAATCACTAGCTGGATACACCAAATTTCACCCAAAAACGAAGTGGCAAGTCCGAATGCAACGCTCATGAGGGCCACAATGTTGACCCCATTTTTGAAAACCATATCTCTGACACCGTCATTGTCGCGGTCCCCTCCAAGACATGCTCCCAAAAATGTGTCAAGACAACGCACTCCAGTGCCAAGCCAAAAGAACAACACACACCTCACAGATTGCCGAATGTACGTAGATTCTGGATGATCGGCCATGGACATGTAAATGCCCAAGGCTGCCAGGATCCAGGTTGCAGCAATTCGGACAATTGTTTGAGTCCGATGATCCTGAAGTCGCTGCCCGTTCTCGTCTTCCATCTCCGGATCGAAATCATTGCAATTTTCCCCTCCACCGAAAAAAATCCATGGAACGAGAGTAAGAAAGGTTGTGCTGGACAAAATGAGAAAAGAACACAAGAACCGTATGGGCAAAGCAAACGGATATGCCTGATCTTTCAGCACAAAGTATCCCATGACATAAATCCAAAGAGCAACTGCCAAACTTCCGAAGTACTCCCCTTTGAAGGGGCTCAAAAAGAGCGCAAGCGGCAAAGCTGCAAAAGCCACGCCCACAGCCCACCGACATCGGCGGCCACGCCACATGGGTGTGTGTGCCGTCAACCGCACCGTGGTTGTGTTTCGATGCGGTACATGTCTTCTGGACTGTCATTTTTTTTAGTTGGGTCATCAACACATGAAATTCATGAAACGATGCCACAATTGCTGTGTCGCTGGACGACATGCAGGTTGCTGAGATGTTTTGACAGCGCTGTTGTGCGGCCGCAAAGCACCGCACAGAATGTTGTTGTTTCTTCGGGCCGATATTCTCACAGGCTAAACTCATGGCACCATGAGAAAATGGAATGACATGGAGAAACAAAAAACAAACAAAATGAATTTAACAAAACACGCACTTGTCAAAGTGCATTCAAACAGGGAAAACATGACCCAACACAATGAAAAAATTGCCCACGGTCGAACATCTCCACGCATTTTCTTAGATTATGTTCTGCGGAACCGCTGGCAGCACACGGAACACTTTTCTTGGACCACAGGGCCTCGAATATGGTCATGAGTATTTCATGCCAAACGTGAGAAAGTGAATGCAAAATTGCGAAGCCGCCGTGTTTTTTGCCAAAGGGGCTGCGGTCTGCAGCAATCCAACATGCTTTGCATGAATGTTACACTTCGTGATTTGTGCAGTCATACTTGCACATGGGCCATGCTGTGAGTCATACGTTTGATGTTTCTCACTCCTCCTTGGGTCTATGAGCCATTGTAGCTCATTGATCCATATTGAAACATGCATGGCCAAAAAGTGAAAATCCTAGCCTGCATTGCTAGGTCGCGGAAGTGCCATCTGTAGATTTTCTACGTTGGCAATTTGTACTCTCAGATTTGCTGCTTCATCTTCGTCTCCCACCAATTGCGCTCTTTCTTCTCTTTCTCTCAATTCCTTCACAAGCTTCTCCAATCGATCTGCATCTTCTTGCAAACTCGCTGTGATTGCATTTGGGGATTGTGGTTCTCTCCCATGCGGTTCTTCATCCCGAACAGTATGAGGTTCTGGTTCGGGAACATCTGCAGGTGGACCATTTTCAGTTGGTGAGTCAAACACAGGGATCTCCTTCTCTGCTGACTCGGGACTTCCCCTTCTCGGTGGTGTGTCATGGCGGCTGGTTGATCTCGACCTTCTGCTTCCTCCATCACGCATCCTTACATCATCATCTGCATTTTCTCGATTCTGGAAGGTCAAGGATCGAAGCTCCTCCTCACTGAGAGTGCAAACATGGGAAGCGGCAGTGACCGCCCTGTTTTGCTTGGGCAGAAAGGCCTCCACGGTACGTGGAATGTTGATTGCACCTGTCACACTGATAAGAACAGATACTACAATGCAGCTGTCTGTACGCAGGACGACTGGTTTACACCCTGCCTTTTGCGTAGTGACCACCCTTTAGCGGTCCAAGCAAACTTTCTAAGCTGCACCGTCGTATTCGTCCTCACATCTTGGGTCACGTTCTTTTTTTGGAACGGAGTTAATTACGGCCTTTGCCGCCATCTCTTCCCGATCCTCGACTAGGTGGTGGTCTTGCCTTTGCTTTCGAAAACACTGAAGGTCTCCACGTCCATGATGCTGCTCCTTCTGGACAATCTATCGGGTCTTCCACGGTCACCCAAACCATGTCATCTTCTGGTTCACCTCCTTCAGTTTCATCTCTCGGTTCTGACAACGAAGATCTGTCTTCATCATCTGTTTGGGCTCTCTTGTAGTCCTCGTCATTGACATAGCCCCAGCCGTAGTGGACTGCCATCCACTAGTCTGGCATTTCTGTTTCTTCCAACCGTTCTCCAGGTGTGATCTTGCCGGCCTCATAGTGCATCATGTAGCGGCGCCTCCCTTTCAAGTAGTCCACCGCCTTGATGCGCACCTCCGGGCCACCAAGTTGAACTGCACGTTGGATCTGCATGAGCTCGCACATCTCGCTTCTTCAACACATAGTGTCCCACACCAACTGCATTCCCAAGGCATTCCCATCTGTACTCGTCATAGGATTCTGGATCTAAATCGCGGTAGACCTCTTCATCCTCCATTGCCAACGCCACTGAGCCATAGTCTGTCTCGTAGTCCTCTTCCTCTGGTTCTTCTGGAATATCTGCTTCGATTTCGACTTCTTCCATCTCATCTTCCGATGCTTCTTCTGGTAGATGTTCTGCACCGCAGCCACCCTCCAGCTTCACGTCCATTGCATAGTCATAGTCATTGACATCGACCTCACGATCTTCTTCTGCAGGTTCTGATTCATGTTGTTCTTCTTGCTCCATGTTGTCACCTCCTGCATCCTCTGAAGTGACCATTCGAATGTGCATCTCATCCTCCAATTGGAACTCTTCCTCTTCTGATTCTTCTCCTCCATCAGACTCGAAGTAGATACCCGTGCGCGCTTGCTCTTGAGCTCTGATGCGCACACGCATTCTCCTTTCTCTCGCCTTCATCCTCAACCAATCCATGGCGTTCCAGGTGATCTCGATCTTCTTGCGCATGATGTGCATAATCTTGAGCAAAATGCCCACTGTTGCCATCAGCATCACAAGCTCGAAGTCGATTCTGCAACCACATAGCATTGTGAACTGCTGGATGGGCCCAAGGCTTCTCCACTGTCCACCAGCAATGCCCCAAGCGTCAGCCTCATCAACCGCTTCGCCAACTTGTTCATCAAAGTGCTGCTTGGAGACTGATCTGCCTCCAGCACCTGTGAATGCACCACCTTTCTGATGCTCTTCAGCTGATCTCGGCTTTCCTTCTTGGTTTATTTCTTGGACCAAAAGGGGCAGCGGTTTCTTATTTCATAAGTATTACAAAAACCAAAAAGGTGCACAACGTGACCACACACTCTGCTCTTTATATTATTCCTTTTTGTCCTCGCAGGAATTAATGGCGGTTGATCCGAGTTGGGATGTTGGAACCCAAGCTGGTTGCACACCTGGACATGTGCACCGTTCAGCAGCATTAACCGAAGTCATTGGGGACTTCTGCAAGTGAAAAAGGCCAGTGATCCTGTGCGGTCGATCACAAGCGTCCAACAAGCTCCAAACTTAGTGGGCCTATTCATTGGGAAGGACTAAACCAGGGTTAAGCTTATTACAGGCTGGCACCCCCGTGGCTTCTCAGGGTGGTTGTGGGTGGGACGAGAAGCCACAAAACTAAAATGGCGACCCTCCAACCCACCACTGGAGATGAAAAACGCAACACGAGTGAAGATCATTCATTGAATGCTGAACAAAGTGAGTTTCTCAAATTTCTCAAATTGGAAACACAAGATTGAACATTTTAAAACTCCACAGAAACGAGTGTTGCAAGCTTGAAACTAAAAAGTTGTTGTTTGGGATTTGAACCCTTCCACAAACAACAAAGCAAGATCACCCGAATGCTCTGTGAGAAAAGGCACTTGCCAAGAACACTATTAGTGCAAGGTATGCCAGGGAAGGCACAAGAAACCGCAGCACGGAAATTTTTGGCTTGGAGAAAATTTCCTTTTTGGTTTTTGGTTCCAAGAAATAATAAACTATCACAAGTGACAGCCTATTTATTTCTTGGACCAAAAGGGGCAGCGGTTTCTTATTTCATAAGTATTACAAAAACCAAAAAGGTGCACAACGTGACCACACACTCCGCTCTTTATATTATTCCTTTTTGTCCTCGCAGGAATTAATGGCGGTTGATCCGAGTTGGGATGTTGGAACCCAAGCTGGTTGCACACCTGGACATGTGCACCGTTCAGCAGCATTAACCGAAGTCATTCAGGACTTCTGCAAGTGAAAAAGGCCAGTGATCCTGTGCGGTCGATCACAAGCGTCCAACAAGCTCCAAACTTAGTGGGCCTATTCGTTGGGAAGGACTAAACCAGGGTTAAGCTTATTACAGGCTGGCACCCCCACATTATCCGAATAGAAATTCAGAAAGTTTCATGATGCAATCGGCAACGATGTCAGTGACGTCAACGAAGGGAACACCAAGCTGTAGCAACCGTCTGTTTTCACCCCGAGAGGGGTCATCGGCTGGGTTCGACGGGGAAGGCACACGTGCAAACCAACAAAAACAAGCCGCTACATCTTCCACATGCAAGAGCTGCTCGACCAGAGATGCAATTGTTTTGGAACGACTATTGGCTGAGATGGCGACATCACGCGCAGAGTTGTTATCGACATAGAACACCACAGGTGAATTACAGATTAATTTTTCCACAACACAAAGGAAACAATCAAAGCCAGAAGCTCAGCTTCAAAAATAATTGTTTTCTTGACCAATCCACCCAAGGCTGCAATCTGATCTGGAAAAAGGCAACAAGAAAAAGCCTGCACCGCGGCGCCGTTTGAGTTGTAGATTATGCCACCAAGGCCGCACTGCCATTCGACCCTACCGGGTTCAAAGCAAGCATCAGTAAAAATGAATGAACAACTTGCAGACATGCCGCAAATTCTGCGGGGTGGCCCATCCAGTGAATGCGACATGAAAAGTGCTAGCAACTGTCTCAGACGGGAGCATAGTTTCCCACCGCCTGATGAAAAGGCATGACTTGTAATCTCTTTCGAACACAGTTTTCCAATCCTTCCAAACAACTGGCCTTCCGCAAACTGTAAACGACCACGAAGCTTCAAAGCATCAGGCAAAGACAAAACTCCTGCTTCCAGAATTGATGAAATCAGATCCTTAAGCTCCTGCTTGCGCTTCTCGGTGTTAGAGAATTCAACAAAACCTCTATCGGACTCTATCGAAGTTTGTCAGACCAACATGAATGCCTAATGCCCCAAAGAAATGATCAAAGGCCAGCGCCTTTTCACCATCGCAAGCGAAATCCCAGCCTAGCATGTCAAAGAGCAACTCGATCGAGGCACTGGTACGTTCGGAATCTGCGTCCCAGCTAAAGGTGACAAAGTCGTCATAAAAAATTTGTCCGCATCACCGCAAGGCACTTGCAAGCAATCCACCAGACAAAACGCACAATGCGGAGAAAAGAGTAAACAGATCTGGAACCGCCAAACCGCACAGCGAGCATTTGAAAAACTGCAGGTCCTCTGGACACGGGATCAAAACATGCGATGTAGGAACAAGCCAAAGAGTTTGGATGTATTCCTAGTTGACGGTAGGCTGACTTTAAATCAAAAGTTTTTCCCAGAACCTTGCGGCCATCGGCATCCAACAAAAGAGCAAGGGCTAGAGAAGCTATGACATCTGTGGAGCGGGGACGAGGCGCTTCTGGTGTCTGCACCGTGGCATTAATATGTGACTTGCTAAGGTCATCAATTAAACGCACCTTGTTGGGCTGCTTCAAACCAAAACGCCTGCTCAGGACACAACCTCTACCTAATTCTCGGAAAGGGATTGGGCCCCTTAACCAACCAGCATCTCTCTCTTCCAAGGTCTTCTGGAAGACTACGGAGTCTACTTCGTCGGCACCTGAGGAATGGACTGAATGGTAAATAGCTTTGTTGGATTCGCTGGACTGTTCAAAGAGCTCATCTTCTGTCAGCAACGCAGGCTTAAAGGAAGGGTCGAAGACACCTGTCAAAGGCACACTACCTGTGAGCTCCGTTCCAAAAGCTAGTTCTTCAAATACCCCTGGGTCAGGATATCCCTCGCACTCCACAATTTCTTTCAAGAGCAAAAGTCTCTTGGGCTTCAAAATATGCTGAAGGTGCGGGGCTAAACTGCTTTTAAATGCCGCCTCTTGGGCAGCAAGGGCTTTGGCTCTGGGAACCCACTTTTTGAACCAGCTGGCACGAAGTTCAGCAAGGTCTTTGCTGGACATGGTACGGTTTTTCTCAACAGCATCCTGTAGGACTTCTGGTAACAGTGAGCCAAATATGCCCTTGGATGCCCTTTGGCTACTGCTTGAGACACAAAACTTTCACAATCCCATGGAATGCCCCAGATTAACTTCGCAAAAGGTTTCTTGGAGTTAATACCATCGTCATCGTCAACAAGGTTATCACCCCCTTTTGACCTAGTTTGGCTGATGCGGAGCAATTGGGATTCCGCTGGAATTATTGGGATGGAATTACCAAAACATTGGGGGACATCCCAAGGCTGCTTGTTGCGGGCCATGCAAGCGCATGGTGGATTTTGGATGAGGTGATTTGGTCCAACAATACTTATAGTATGTTTATATTCACTAACAAGTGGTGGGGTTTTCGATGCTTTTGGTTGCCGCCCGGCAACGGCTCTCATGGCTGCAAAATTTGGGTTTGTTTGTAGCTCATCCCAAGAACCTGTTGGTGGGTTCCACCCATCGGCGGCCAGAGCTTGGGTGAAGGCATTTGCGATCGCCTGACCAGCTTTGGAGGGTATGCTGTTTCTTCAGCGGTGGCAAACTTATCTGGTGAGACTAAACCCCATGGTTTATGGTGGTGGTTGGCATCAACACCAGGACAGGTCATGTTAACTTGAAGAAACGCAGGCCTATTAACCGCTAAAGCGGTCCACTTAGGACGCTCACTGCCGTATGCACAGGTTTGATGTGCGACAAGAGTGAATAGGTGTTTGATCTTTTGGAAATATTTTGTCAACCAGTACAAAGAGGATCTTAGATTTTCAATCACAAAAATTAAATTTCTGTCGTTGGCTTGGAGAACCACCTTTGCAAGAAAATCGTATAGTTTGTTGGCAGCCAAAACTCGTTTAAGATTGGTATTTGCCAAGTTGGGGAAACCCTCAGGAAACTTAGGGGATCGAAGGGGAATTGGCCCAGAAATTATATTTCCTTTTGGCCCTCTGATTTTTATGTTCCGTGCAAGACTGCACGTCCCACACGGCGGAGCTGCAAAGATACCTGCAAGATTTGGGGCATCCATCCAAGTCATAAACAAAGATTGTCCGGCCCGAGTAGTTAAACCTGCAATCATTATTGGGGCAATTGAGCTTAACTTCTTATGGTCATGCTGTAAGCCTACCAGAGCCTGCAAATAATTCGATGACAACTGGTCCATCGCGAAAAACTTTCTTGTTTTTGTTTTTGGGGTCAGCTGCAACATCTTTTGCAAAACTGGTTCCTGTGCAAAACTCTTCACTTGAAGAACCAGGAACAACCTGCTTTGGAGAATTGGCGCAACTAAGCTTGGAAAAATTTGCTGATGGATTCCTGGAAGGGTCAACTTCGTGACTACCCAAATTATGTTGCTGCACCTTACCAGGCAAAACTGGTGCAGGCTTATCACATGAACCTACACTGTGATTTGGCGGCTGCTCTTCTGGCGGATGCAAATTGATCGGATGCTTTTCGGCCGGATGAAAACTTTCAGGTTTTGTACGACTTGTGAGTCACGAATGGTCTTTCAGGCTGTGATTTGCAAAGCACTTTGCACAACAATGTTTGCCACGCCTGCATGATGATCCGTCTGCTGCTTCGTCACAACCTTCGATGTTATACTTGAAACATATGTTTGAGCCATCAGGTGTCTTACCAACACCTCCTGATTGGATGATCTGGTACGGAACTCGAGGTCCTTTATTGGACCCTTTTGATTTGCCCTTGCCTTTGTGCGTCTTTTGAAACTGGGTGGTCTTGACCCCAGCTTTCGGCTTAGGCACGGGCGTCACAGGAGAGGGCTTCTTCTGCTGAGGCAAAGGCAACAACGTAAAGGATACTGCATAGGACTCCAATGCCTTCATAAGGGATGCATCTAAGGGCAAGACACCTGAAGCATCACGGCGGGGTTTGACCCCTTCCTCCAGCAATTTCGCCCACACAGCTTTGTCCGCAGCAACAGTCTGGGAAACTGATGTCCTGGCGTAGCCTGGATGTGGATCACGATGCATATGTGCAAATAGAGCTGAAAGATACTTGCTGTAGGTGGTAAAAGTAACAGGTCTGCAAAGACCAGTCCCACACCCCTACGTTCCAGGGCCTCTTTTACTTGCAGCGCTGAGTGCGCCGCTTCATCAGGCACTTCGCTTTTCTCACGGACGATGAGACGGTCGGATTCGATCTCAACCTGTTTCGCTGGGGTCTTCTGCTGTGTAATCTCATGCAAACGACTCACACAACGCTCAGGAGCCAAGTATTTGATCTCGTTTGTGGAGTGCATTTGAGCACATGCGTCAAGAAGGGAATGTCCTGGGTCAAGTGGCCCTTGAATGAGTAGTCCTGCATGGGTGTTTCGAACATGCTGCATTTTGGAATCTCTCTCTCTCAGTTGGAGGCACTTTCTTGGTTGCCAGCGAGTCCGGTGCGACTACCTGCTCTTTCAACGATCTTGCCTCAACCAATTGTTGAATGCCTCATCTGCAATGTTTTGTCCAGGCTGCCCAAAACTGTAAGCAAGGAGTCCAAAAGATGTCACTCCTAAACGCGCAAGGTCTTGCAGAGCTACCTCGGACAACTTGCATTCTTTTGCCCGCTGCCTGAACTGCGCCTCTGAATCCAGTAATGAAGCCATGTTCCACCGGAAGGAGGGAGTGAGAAAACGAATCAAACAAATGAAATAACATTCAAAACACGTGAATCGACAAGTCATGCAGTTCGAGTTATGAAATCTCTGCAACCTGATTTTTTTTTTGAGACTGAAAAAGCCCGGAATTGCACAAATCTTCAAGAACACACGGCCCTGCCGATATGAAGACTTCAGAAAGTCAGTTGACCCTGTCAACATGTTCACGAACTGTCACTGACAGAATGCGACTTGTCCCAACAAAGACAAAATCGATTTGCCAAACTGCCACTGAAGAAAAAGGGACAAAATCGCAAATATCACACATGTTGTTTCACAGAAGAGCCATGCCCTTCCTTCAATGGTGAACATCAACATGATAACGCACAATGAATGAAAATACCAGGACTAAATTCGGAATGCACCGCAATCCAACTTGAAAAAGAGCAGCCCTGCCACTCAGCCCTTTTTAGTCCTGGCGCCTCTGGCAAATGACACAAATCGGATTTCCATCCGTAGTTTCGTCCATGGCCACATAGTTGGACGTTCATCTTTCTGCTGTCATCGCCTCCTGAAGGTTCATTCCAGCACATGTGCAACAAGCCAGACTTCCTGTGAGCAAACCACATCGACTGCCTATCCGGCTTGTCAACGGCTTTGAACCTGAGGCGCTTTGACAAAGGCTGGCCGTCGGAGCTCTCCTCCGATGCAACGCAAGACTCACCACTTTCGCTCTCCGAAGACTCACTCTCAGAGATGAGGTCCACCACTGGCTGTTGCCCAGCCACATCCATGGCCAGCTCAGGCTTGCAAAAACTCGGCTCAACTTCTGCAGCATCCGTCTCAACCACTTGAACCTCCTGAGTGTCACTGTTCGAAGGTTCTGCGGGAGGAGCAGGAGGAAACGGAAAATACTGACTTCGGTCTGCATCAGGGCAAAACACTCCAAGGAAAATGGATTTGATCATCTCGGCAAACTTTGTCACCGGTCCCACAGCCAGATCTCTTGAATAGATGGCAACTGTTTCATTTGTATGGGATTGGTGCCTGCCCAAGATTGCACGGTCTGGCCAGGAAAGCCCAAACCTGGCTGACCACGACAGGCCCGTAGCCTTCAAGGAGTGTGCACTCACATGTTGGCTGCCACTGTCTGTAACAGCGATCTCCAAACCAATCAGCCCCCTCAAAAGCCTCGCTACCTCAGTTGCATTCACACTTCTGCCACAGAGGTCGGGACCTGCATGGTTGGGTGGTCGCAGCAAGGGGCCTTTGATGACACCTTCAAATTTCAATCCAATCTGTTCGAAAGCTTTCAAAGCATGGATGACCCAATTTGAGCCCGTCACGCCAATTGCTGGACAGAGGATCGGTAACAGTGTTGCTTTCTTTGCAGCGCTTCGTCCAGTCTTGTGCACTGCTGTAAACAGCTCCAAAAACCCATCTGAATCGCTGTGATCATGTTTGATGGAATCCAGAAAAATCAAGTCAGAAACCCTGCATCTGCCGTAGAGCGCTGTCAACAAGAAGCCGGCAGCCGCTCTATCAAATTTGTCTGAGTTCGCACTCTCCAAAACTGAATGCAAAATCCTGACCTGTTGTACTGTCAGCGTCTGTGCCTGCAACAACTTCCTTTTACCTACAAAAAGAATGTCGCTAAGCCCTCTGAGCCGCTTGCTGTTCAGAATCGCATCAATGCATTCAAATCCCATGACAAATTTTGCATACCTGAAGGCAGACAAAACAGAGGCCGCTGAAGTTGCACCTCCAGAGCTTTTCAAGCGTTGAAAATGCATCCACACCAAGTCTTCTGTAAATGGCATAGTGGTGTCCGGAAAAACCTCCAAAGTCTCCCTCAAAAATTTCAAAATTGAATTGGCCCGGCAAATGGCGGTGTGGTAAGATCTGACACCGATCACTGCCTCCAAGATGTCAAACGCTTCACATCGGTGTTCATCCAGAGGTCCAAGTGCTGCAATGTGTCTACCAACATCACTGGCATGCAAACAGAGAACCAAAATTGAAAGCCACTTGCTACATGCGCTCAGTCTCAACTTGGATTGTTGTGCATCATGATCATGGTCAGAAATGCACGCAATTGCATGAATATACACCGGGCTCTCAGACGCAGATGGTCGGCTTGCAGCAGCCGCTAACTCAAGCACTGTCGCCTCAGGAACATCTTCTGTAGCCTCTGCACGAGGAATCCATGACATGTCCAACGACGGTTGCAACTGCTCTTCACCAAAAATCTGTCTGAAAATACCCTTTTCCCATGGCATTTTAATGTTGTCAGCGTGAGCAACGCTGAGAAATGCATGACCAAGAAAACGATCAAATTGCACCTTTGAAAGAGGCGCCTCTGCGCCAGCACTGTCATTACCAACAAAGCCCTGTGTCACTGAGTCCCCTCCAAGTTAAAATTTGGCCCCCCAAAAAGCTCACATGTATCCACTGCTGAGCTCGCCACAGGCTCAGAAGAAGGCCCAGCAGAGCCATCCAAACTGACTGAATCAACCGACCTGTAAGGCGTCAATGTCTTCTTCCTCCACGGCATCTTGGTATGGAGATGGGCTTGAGCTTGAAGACACTGTGTCCAAATCCCAAACCCCCCCTTGACCGGGAACAACAGGCAAAAGGAAGGCCTGAAGGGGAGGCGTAGGAACACTGTAACTGGACAAGCACAGATCAAGTTGTTGTTCAGTTCGAGACAAAAGTATGTCCTTTTGGTCAGAGAACAGCAGGATACACGTAGTCAAAACTCGTTGGGCTTCAGGACGTGACAAATACGCAAAAACAGAAGCTTGGACCTTGCCACAAATTGGCTTTGTAAATATGCAGTCCTCTTGTGGGGAACACTCACAAGCCCTGGCCAGGGAGATGTGCATCAAACCAGTAAAAGCCACACGATGAAAAGGTTTCCAGTGAAAAATCCTGAGAACCAAAAGCAGATCCAGAAGCTCCAATGAAATCTCTGAGCTGGCAGGCCCAAAGCAATGCGTTGGGTGGCTGCCGTCACGCCGCGCGCACGAGCGCCCATGCACGAGAAGCCACAAAACTAAAATGGCGACCCTCTAAAAAGTTGTTGTTTGGGATTTGAACCCTTCCACAAAACAACAAAGCAAGATCACCCGAATGCTCTGTGAGAAAAGGCACTTGCCAAGAACACTATTAGTGCAAGGTATGCCAGGCAAGGCACAAGAAACCGCAGCACGGAAATTTTTGGCTTGGAGAAAATTTCCTTTTTGGTTTTTGGTTCCAAGAAATAATAAACTATCACAAGTGACAACCTATTTTCTCCTCGTTGAACTCCTGGATACCAAGCTCCTCCCAGTCATCTGTGAATCCCATCAAGTACAGCAGGAATCTCACGCGCCGTCCTGGAAGTGCTTTGGTACCCGCATCAGCCACATTGGTTGTAGTGTCCAGGCATCATAGTTGGAAATCACGACCCTGCCTCTGTTGGATCCACAACAACCTTCCACTCAAGTGTTTCACCTTGCAAACACCCTCCTTTGCTGCAATGGCCATGCAACTGGTGTTGTCCCCATAGAGCTTCAGCTGCACGTTCTCACCAAGCAAGAGTTGTAGAACTGCTCGAAGTAGAAGCCCTTCACATGCACCTGAAACCAATGCAACAAACTCGCTCTCTGTGCTGCTCAGGGTGATGTTGCGCTGGGTCCTCGAGTAAGAATAAATCCAAATTCCCCCCAAGAACACGCAACCACAGCTTGTTGAACTCCTTGACAACTTGTCGCCGCTCCAATCTGAATCAGTTGCCACCTCCAACAACCAACATGTAGGGTCCTCCTCGTAGAATGGAGCTGTTGTCACTCCTTGTAAAAATCTTAATGAACCCTCAACTCAGCTCAGCGAGTTCCAAATCCTTTTCGCGCCGTTAACAAACAGGTCACACAAGGCACAAAACCAAGTGTCTTAAATTCTCTTGTTACTCGAGCCACTCTCTGGTTGAGCAACACAAAGTCACACGGACTTCTCAAAACCAAAAGACTGCTGTACCAACTGCGGATTCCAGATCAAAAGTTGTTTCAGACAACATCCTACGCAACAATCAACGATTCCGACCTAGTGTGTAACTAGTTAGTACCATAAGTGGTTGATTTAACCAATCCAAACACAAACCAGAGGCAAGAAACCAACAAACCAAGGTTTGTGGTTTCTCCCCTCAGACTTACCCCTTTTCACCTGCCGACAGTGGCATCACATCGGGGTGTTTTGTCATCACCGAGGAGAAACCCCAAACGGGATAATAAAGAATCAACCACCCATAGCACCTTAGCTTCACAGGAGATGTTGTGTAAACAACATCGACAAAATTGGTTGCACCAAAACTTGCCGTTTCCATATCATCCAATGATGATATTCACAGAAATCTTTACAGCATGATTTGACGAACAACTTCGTGATGTCAAATCATCTTCAAATGGTCCAAAGGTGATTGAAATACTTCTTCAATGTTCCGAACGTTTCCGAAAATGTTGAAATGTTTCCAAAACCGTTCCAAACAAACTGTGGTCAAATCGGCTAAATCCCTAAAGCTCGAAAACACTCTCGTCTCATTGAAAACGCAAATTCCAGCAAAGACAGTGGTCAAAACGCAATGTCACCGAAATAGCATCCAATGAAATACCGTCCATTCTAGAACATTCTCAGCTCATCAAAAGTGCAGAATCTCAATGAATACCGATGTCAAATGCAGTATCATAGAAGCATCATCCAATGAACTATTGTACCAAATAGAGGTGCACAACGGTCTAATCCCAGCGTACATCGTGAAGAAGCACGACGGTCCAATACCATATATTCACACCCCCTTTCGGCGTGCTGCTTCCAAACCCAAAACGACACATCCCACTCGAAAAGTCTTCAGTGTCTAACAGAAAGGAAGTCTCCTGTATCAAAAGCAGTTGGCCGGAGCCACATTGATCCCATTCTCTTCCAGCTGGACCGCAAAAACCCAAAGCGACACCATGTGTCTAACAGAAATTGCAATCGAAGCCAGATACCTTTGTTTCAATACATAGACCTTTCCAATAAATCAGGTCCCCTTGGAGACATTCAGAATCGCAAAGCCCATGCATCGATGACCGGAGTCACGTTGAGATCATGGCTTAACCACTCTCTTCCAAGAACCAGCTGGCTCTCTCTCAGGATCAAACTCCATATAGAGAAGAAACCCAGCCAAGTCCACGGCTTGAGACTTGTGAGTTCCATCATAGGACCCATGATACTTCTTGAAAATGAATCCCAGATACTTGTCCAGCTCAATGTCACCGTCAATAGCCATCCTAAGCAGTTCAGAATAAGTCTTTCCGTTCCACTTCGGCTCACCATTGACTTTCGGAAGCTGGCACACCGTGTGAGACCACTCCTTCAGAGTGCAATTCTTTGGCAATGGAACCTCCTTGCGATCCTCACTTTGGAAGAGCTCACTTGGAGTAGTTGGAGATCCAACTGCTTCAAAGTCCGAATCACTCCCCCAAACGCTTGGAAGCATCAGTCATTGCTGATCCACCAGACGCCTTCGGAGCCTGCTGAGCCTTATTCAACAGTGCTTTCAACTGCTTCTCCTCATCTTCTGTCAAACCACTATATCCAGCTGCATTCTTAGACACAGCCATGGCTTCAGCAAGTGAGGAGAGTAAAACGTAAGTCTTACTTCGGCGCTACTTAGAATCCGAAACAACACAAAGCCTAAGCCAAGAATCCAAACAGATCTCCACAGTAGCTACCAGAGCAAGGTCAGTGAAACGCAAGAAAGAACGAGACCTGCCTACCTGGCACCCACACAGACCTTCAAGGCCCGCCCACATACCAGATACACACACCTCAAACTATACATGTTCCAGTCAAAGATCTTAGACCTTTCAAACTGCAACGCATGTCAAGTCCAGTCCGTTTCAGACAAGTTCAAAACAGTTTGCATCAAGTCCAAGACATGTCCCATGCTTCGCATTGAGATCAGTTTCAAAGTTTTAGTGCACGATCGTTTCAGATCAAACTTTATTTCGTCAGCTCAAGTTCGAAAACCAAAATCGAATCAAGAAACCTGTCATCCTCAATTCACAACAGCAACAACAAAACTATCCATCATTTCTCAATGCGTCCAAAGCACCACGAACAATCGAAACAGCTAGATTCTCATTGTAGAAAGCAGTTTCTGCCCAATCCACATTATTCAAACCAGCATGCTTCTGAGTGCAGTGACACTGTCCAAAGTCCTTGGCCAATCGACCAACCATCAACTTGCTGTTACTGGTGAACTTCAACACCTTTCCAACTGGTTCTCCGTCCTTAGTCATTGAACCTGTTGAACACAAGTGCACAGCCGCAACATGTTTATGTTGAGCTTGATTCAGAATCTTCGTGGTCATGGCATGAGTCCAAATCGCATTCCTCCATGGCAACTCGAAAGATGAATATTTCCCCAATTTCATGTATTTGGCAACATGAGGAATAACATCAAACCAAATCACATCCGCTTCAGTGGTCGTGTCGTCACCCCTGAAATTTTTTAATGGAGATCCCGAAGAACATGGTGATGAAACATGGACAAAAACTTTTGAATTTCCCAGATCTTTCAATGCAGCAACCACCTGATCAAAAACAGTTTTCTTTTCCATATTCTCAACAACACCAATGTACAGAAATCCAAACCTTCTAGCTACCTTGGAAATGCTGGAGTCCGGTTTGCAACACACCTCAATGAACACAAAACCACTCGAAATGGCCATGATGGCTCCCAGAGGAGCGTCCAAAACCTCGAAACCCATTGCTGCTCTGTGTATCCCAAAGATTGAGCTCCCCAGGCATTTTGTCAAAGCGTCAGCTGGATTATTGGACCCCTTCTCATAGTGGATTTTCAACTTTCCCAGTTCCACTCTCTCTCGAAGCCATTCAATCCGAATCTCAAGGTGTCGAAATTTTCCTGGTAAATCCAAACCTTTCAACAGTTTGATCGACGACTCAGAGTCAGTTCGCAGAACTCCTGGAATCTCACTGGAATCAATCTCCTTGAAGGAAAACAATGCAGGTATGGTATGGGAGACCATCCTGGCCGAGTTCCCAGATATTGAGGGCAAAACAGTGTTAGCAGCCATTGCCCTGCCACTACCATCGCTCCTGACGACACCCAGATTGTCCCATAATAGACAGGTACACCTCATCCACCATGCAGATGACCGACTTTGCGTCTGGAAACCATCCAACCAAGACATGAGGCTGCTCCAACACCAGGGGTTTACAATCACACATATCACAGGGTGGCGAGCGTACCTGGGTACCGCCCAACACAACTACCCACACTGGACACGAGTCACCCTTCCAGAGGGACGACAAGACATAGCAAAGTTGGAAAGTTCCCCAGGGGTTCTCCCTTTTGAGGTCTATTCACAAGCCCCGCTGCGTTTGATATCCTGGTGTAGTTTTGAACTCACACAGGTGGCTAAGCGCCTACTGAGGGAGTTAGCGGTGATGTGCGAGACGCCAGAGACTACAACTCAGGAACTGGTCAACCATATTGCCATGCGCAATCCACAGGTACGCAGAGAGCAAGATGCAACTCAATACCTTGCCTCACTGGCGACGGTCAGCATCGCGTCCAGAGCAAAACTGCTCAACTACACAACAATGGTCCAACACTTCCTTGGCACCCTGCAGCTGCCCATAGCTGTCTATATGCTGGATTACTATCTGCCAATGCCCCAATGAAGGATACAATGAGACAGGACTTACGATGCAGAGTGCAGGCCCAATTCGTGAGCCATGGCAAACAATGGATGGAATTTCTTTTCAAAGGCAGCGAGTTCGGACATTAGAGAGTAAAGGGAGGACAAGATGCTTTCGCGTTCCGACACCCGAGTCTTGGCCAAACAGATGTCTACCACCTCCTGGCAAGTGAAGCACATCATCATCGGCACCGGGAGGCTGGTTGCAATGGTAGGAACCGTGGATGCTCCAGTAGCAAACATCAGAAACCTGCAGATCCTCTTTGGGCTGGTCCTAGCTATCACGCCGCGCTCATCCGAAAATAAAAATGAACTACCTGCCACCCGAATACACAGGCAGTGCAACCGCAGAGCCATCGAAATAGCATTTCTCTCAATGCCAGCCATCAATTTTTTTGTTTAAGAACAACTCCTAGTACTTCAAGACTGGTATCTTGCCTCTGGCCAGAGCCTGGAACCCATAGATGCCACAGTCAGGGATGACAGGGGCCCACTCCCGGGCACCTTTTTCCTCCATACTATGTGGATGTTTGGATGCACCAAGCCCACTAGCGAGATGACCGCTGTTGCGCAGACTCCCCTGTGGGTATCACCTTGGCCTAGGCATCTACAACGTCCAAACAGCAGTTGAAGAGATGGACGGCAACAAACGATCACACTTGTTGCATTTGTGCGGGCAACTGCTACGCCTCGTCCTCATTCCATGTCATGTAGAGGGAGAACCCTATCAGTGGACCCGCACAACGGCACTTTCCTTTGCTGCCGAAATGGACGGACATGTCTTGGGCACGCTATGTGCAGTGACAATGACATTACTCACCCAATCGGCTGGACCTGTGCATTCAAGGACTCTTTGGTGCAGGCAAGTCAAAATCGATGGCAGTCCTCATCCTCGCCCTGATCGAAATCGACACCACCAATAGCCTCAAGATATTGTTTATATGTAAGGAAAACTCATGCACTCGATCCTTTGCTGACCTGCTCCTATGGCTCGACCCCACATCGGGGGGGTTTGGGCGCACAGGCAGGTTAGTCGGGGACCAAGAACGTAACAAGAGCAGTTACTCCCACACCAAATTAGACATTCACCCGAGAGAAAGAAGACAAATGCTAAGCAAGTGCCAGCTGGTTTTGGCTACAGGAGGCACCGTCGCCCAAGATCTCACCATGCAATGGTCCACGCTGGGCGGCTTCATGCAAGAGTTGTCCCTCATGGTCATCGACGAAGGCCAACAACATGGCACTGACCGGGAAATTGCAGTCATTAGTCTGCTGAGGCAACTCATCAAGCCACCGGCGGTGGTCAGCGGGGCGTCGGCCTTACTGGCGTGGTTTCCGGCTAGCTGGGCCAGCAAGATTGCACCATGTTTTCTAGGTGAAGCAGGCGGTGCTATCCAAGCCCCGCTTGAGGTGTCCTTCTCCTGTCCCCATCGAGTATTTGAGGGGTTGCAGAGAGAAGCGGCTGACCAAGTATTGCAGGCAATTAAATTTACTGACAAAAAACGCTCCAGGATTGAGCCTGGCCCTGGATGAGGAATTCCAAGCAGCTGACTGCTTTTCAGAACTCACCCGAGGATACACACATGGGGTAGTGGACCCCTATATCATGATGGGCCTGCAACCCACGGGACCCACCAGAGTCAACCTAGAAGTAATTGTACCATCCCCCAAAGGACTAACGCCTGAAATGTGGAAGCAGAGCACAAATCAACACAATCCCACGAGCCCCAGGGCAACACATGCAAGGGACAACAAACCCACCAAAGAGACAGAGAGCAGCACAGACAAGGTTAGTGCAGAGCATAGTGCGCTTGACCAAGGTAAAGCAGGAAGCAAATCGAAAAGAAAACGCGGAAAAGGGGCGTGCACAAAACACGAATGAAAGCAACAAAAACATGCATTGGAGAGGTACGAGTGCACCTGTCACGTCTACGGACAGACACACAAGTACAGAGAGCCATGCCCAAACACCATACACTTGGGAGGATGGGACACCAGTGCACCTGTCACGTCTACGGAAAGATACGCCAGTGAAAATGACGAACCCAAATGATCAAAATGGTGAGGGACATACCGGACGAGGAGGAGCCAAAAGTAGGTCCCTACCGGGGCAAAAAGGGCCCCCACCAACCGCAGCAAGGGGGGGCCAAAAGAGAAAACTGGATCAGGCCGGTAGGACAATGAGACAATGCAAAAATTGCGATAGGAGTCAATGGGGGAGGAGGAAGAAAGGGGGCTATGTCTGACTTCGTGTAGTGTATTCGAGGTGGTGCTGCTTGTCTGCACGGAGAGTATCGTTCCAGCTGTTCCCAATGGCAAAGGAGACAGGGTTCTCAGTTTCATTCACTGCAGCCACGCGACGTAGTTCGTTGCATTGAGCTTCAAAAGTGCCACGTCATTGTCTGGTGCTCTCCTGCGCAGTTTCCGGTCAGGGAAGACGCGCTCTCGCACGTGCTGTTGCAGAATCGTTTCCGGTAGGTAATGAGCTGGTCGTTGGAACTGGCGGAAGCCATGAAGGCGTTGGAAGGAAAAAAATGAGCTGGTCGTTGGAACAGCACTCTGCTTGCTAACTCAGCGGTTGACCTCCCAGAAGTGAACATATGTTGATGCTGTACTTGTTGCTTGAGCTGTGCAGCATATTGGTGGAAACTTTTGGGCGTGTGCCACAATCTCAGAAGGTTATAGTTGGACGGCCACTCAAGAGGGCACAAAGTGGCTGTCCTTGTTGGTGCTTCTCGCTGTCCTCCTGGTTTTTGTTGCGTTCCTCGCTGTGCTTGGGTGGGCCCTGTTGCTTCTGTTGTTGTCTGCCCTCCTTTGTTTTGGTTCCTTTCTCCGTCCTCTTTGCCTTCCCTCCCCCGCGGGTTGTCTCGTGTGGTGCTCTGGTCCAGCTTGTA